AACAGTTCCGAAGAATTTGTATTTTCATTTTGTTATCTTATTTTTTATTTCTGAGAAAACTTAATTATTGTTGTTACCTCTTTTTTAATAGCATCCTGTCCTTATCTCCTGAATATAATATATTAAAAAATATCTCTGAAGATACTTTAAAAAAAATGATTTGCTCCTTGAATTATCTCTTTATCTTCTATTACCATTTCACGTTTTGCTTATCTTGGCCTCCTTATCATTCAATGCTGTAGTATTTCTCAATAGCCTGTGGACATTGTGTTTTTAGTTGACATTTTAGACTGGGACGGTGAAGGGCTGACAGGGAGCTCTGAGTCTATAAGTGGAATTTACTGGCTTGCAGACTTCTGTTTAGGGTAAGCATGTGGGTGCCAGCTGCTACGGTGTGGTATTTTGCTAGAGTGAGAAGAGCTTTACTCTGGGTCCTTAACTCCAATGCTTGCTACCATAATTCTTTTCAAATAATTTGTTCAGTTCCGCAAATGGCAAACCCTCACCCTTTTGACCTGAGAAGTTTGGTTATCAATTGCTCTACATGAAGAGCAGGAAGAGGGAGTAGAGTTTCTGACAGTTTTGTGCTTATCCCTTTAACTGACATAGACTTAACCTTTAGTACTTACTCCACAATCTGCTGGAGCCTCTGTCAGTTGCTTCTGAGCAGGCCAGTGATTTCCTTGCCTGTAGCCCTATACGTGGGTTGGACTGTGGTTTTCTTCACTTCATCAGGCATTCCCCTTGCTTCATTTCTTCTTCTGAAAACTTATTGAAATATATCATCTCCTAGTGACCCATCTCATTGTCTTCATCATTGGGTATTTATGTTTCTTTACCATCTTTTTCATAGCGTCTCAAGAGAGATAAGAAGTCACACCTGTGTGCATTCTGCTATGTTGGTCAAATACTATTTTTAATTTTATATCCAAACCAAATTTCTGATTTCCCCTCACTAACTAGCTCTCCATCTAAAAAAAAATGCAATTCCAAAAAGCCCTGAGATCATCCTTAGCAGCCTCTTTCTATCATGGCATATATCTCACCTATAGCAATTTTTTTTTGGCTTAAATTCAAAATATCTCCAGAATCAACCATTTCTCACTACCTCTACCCCAAGCATTTTTATCTGTGTATTTCTGTTTCTGCACCTCCTTTTATGGCTTTTAAAGTTGCAGCCAGGGTAATCCTACTACAATATCACACCAAATCAATCCCTTGCTCAAAATGATGCAATAGTTACGCATGTCAGTGGGAGTAAAGCCAAATTTTTATAGTGGTCATCTATCACTATTTGGGTGACTCATCACTCCTCCTCCAACCTCTCTGACTCATGGCTCCCTTCCAGCCATACTGGACATGAGCTGGACGGCCTGGGATTTCATCATGCTGCTCAAAATGATGTGTAACTTACAATTTATCAGTGTTTATTTATGTAATTTTCCATTTGGTACTTTGAAATGTGGTTGACTTCAGGTAACTGAAACTATGGAAAACAAAACCGTGGATAAGGGGGGACTACTGTATACTATTTAGCAAAGAGAATAAACAAACTACACCAAAATGCAAAATACAGAAGAATGTCATATAAATATATATATAAATATATATATATATATATGGTTGAGTAATAGATGTCAGACCAAAAAGAAAACATATTGCAGGATTCCCATTTACAGAAAACTTACAAACAGGTAAAACTAACCGATAATTGTGGAGGCCAAGATAGGCATGTGATAGTAGGATAGACTCCTGGTGTGTTGGTGAAGCTCTGTTTTTGACATGGGTGCTGTGTAAGCCCATATCAACTTGATGGATCTGTGCACTTTTCTGTGTATATTATATTTCAATCAAAAGTGTTAAAACATCCAGCTGAGTTCCTGCTAGTAGCATGGCGAACCTAGACAAATGAAGTTGTTTATTTTTCTTTTCCAATTTATAAATGCTTAAGAGAATTTAGTGTGTGTGGAATTAAGGATTGGGAGCAATGGCATCTGTCAATCCTTTGGCAGAGAAGTGAACACAAAATTTCCCCTGCAGGCCTCTGCCATTAGGCATCTCAGTCTTAGCCTACTGGATCCTCGCTGTTTCAATCTGCTGCATTTTAACACACCTGAGCAGCATCTGGGTTGAAATTTGCCAAACTGGGAAAGTGGTTCCACAATGTTTCCACCCAGGGAGCTTGTCAGAGTGTTGAAGTATTTAGGACTGAATAGCAGAGCCCGAATGGCAAGTCCTGTCTCTAAAAGTGATAGGCCAGCTCAGTAATATAATGCATTGAACAAGGATCGAGGACAGGGCTTGAGGGGCTGGTTGAGGGGATGAATTTCCAGGGACCCAGCCATGGACCTCAATGCAGGGGAAGACATGCTGAAAATCATTTTAGTTTTCCAAAACTAAACAAGGAAGACTTCACTTCTGCTGCCTTTGAGACTGGTATTCCGTTTCGCTCACTATGAGACAAAGTTCATTCCTTGATGAGATACTCCAGATGAAGTAGTTTCCCATCCGTTACTCAGGCTCCCTCAGATCTGAAGGTAAACTCTGGCATATGACAATCCTGTGAAGCCCTGCCCTGGCTCAGAGCAATCTGTTTTCCAAGCCACACCATGCTGTTTAGGCTGCATGACTGCAGGGAGCAATGTACACAAGTAGAAGTCTCTTTCTATGTAGTCCCCAACCTCAAAGAAAAACGGAACAACTGGAAACAGAGGTTAGAATTGGCAGGAAGAAAATAATTAATTTATCTTCAGACTCCTTGACAAATGGATACATTTGAATTGATCTGTTAAATCTGTTAACTTGCTCAAAATGGCATTTTTTTTTTGGTTGATGTAAAGGCTCTGTCTTTTGTAGTCCATGTTAATCTTACCAGCAAGATAGATCTTTAAAGAAATTCACCAACTGGTGCTGAAAAAAGCTTGAGAATTCAGTCCTTACTCTCAGCTACTTACTGACTCTGTCTCTCCTTTGTCACTGAGAAAATAGAGGCAACCAGAAAACTTGTACAATTCCCTCCACCACATATACCACTCATGGGCATCTCTACTGATGTACTCTACTCTTTCTCCTCTTCTAGATGAAATGCCCTTGCTCCTGTCTGAGCTCGGACCATCTGTTTGTGAATTATGACAGGATCATAGTTTCATTAAGGACCATATAGTTAACATTGTAGGCTTTGTGTGTCATATGGTCTATGTAATAACTTCTCAACTATGTCTAGTGAAAGTAGCCATGGACAATATGTAAATAAATGAGTGTGGTGTTCCAATAAAACTTTATATATAAAAAGAAGTGGAGGGCCAGACCTGGCTCCTGAGATGTAGTTTACTGAGCCCTGAACCGGATTTTACTGCCCTCACCTATTCAAGGACATGTTCCAGCAATTCTCATGCTCTCTTACATCAGCACAGTTTTCCTTCTATAAGATCATTCCAACCAGCATACATGTCTATCATTGTTGCTTCTTTCTTAACCTCACACACTTCCCGCTTCCAGCAGTCTTTTCATTGATCTATTTCCCTTGCATAAAAAATTCTCAAAAGAGCAATCACTTTTGGCTTCTTATTTTGTTTCTGCCAACATTCTCCAGAGCCTACTCCAATAGGCTTTTGACCCCAGCACTCCAGTGAAGTTGCTCTAGTCAAAGTCACCAGTGACCTCTATAGCATTAAATCCAGTGCTTACTTCCTGGTCTTCATCTTACACAGTCTATGGCAGTATTTAACCCAGTTGATCACTCTCTTCTCTCTCACTCAGGGGGCAGATGTGAAAAACCACCTTTTCCCAGGTGTATTAAAGAGGTGCGCCAAGGGAGCAGAGGAAGCTGATCCTTAGGGTTCAGAGGGGCTGGAAAATCATGCTGTGTAACCAGAGGTAGGACTGTTGTTTAATTGCAAGATATAACATGTTTTTAGTTCTGCTACAAAGAGAAAAATTAAAAGACACCGTTTTTTCTCCCCAAGTCCGTATTTTAAAGGAGTCACTTGCCTTAAAGAATAAATAAAACTTCAATTTCAAGTGATTTACATAAGAAAGAAAGCATTCAAATCTGAAATAATATTTAGGAATAATATTTTTAAGTCCTGGTTCTGTTTAAAAAAATTTGATTGACCCAAGATTTCTCATAAATCTCTGAGATTGTTGTAATTGAGCAATTTCTTTCAGCTTTTTACCTTCTCAGAGCATCCCATGAAGAAGTAATTTCCTTCTCCCCCCATTTCTCTCCTTCCATTCCTGCATTATTCTCTCACAGAGATTTCCATCTGACCCATGTTACATTTACTTCTGTGTGCTTATCCGTGCATTTCCTCCAGAATTCTGGCTTTCGGTATTTTAAAATGGTGTATCCCTAACTCTGGAATTGTGGCTGGCACAGGGAAGGCATATAATAAATGTGTGTTGAATGAATTAATGAGCCAGACTCCCTTTCTAAACAATTTCTTCTGGAGAAATTTGACTTTCAGAAAAGATCAGGTTTCTCTTGGGAGTTCTACATAATGAGAGAAGCTGTCTCCTTGTTTACCGGTAGCTGACACTACACAAGGCATCATGTACGTTGGCCCTGGGGATTAAAGGTGTGATGTTATGAGACAATACTGAGAATTAAAAGGATGGGGAATACGTTTTCAGAATAAAATGATGTTTGAATATTTTAACCTTCTGGCTGAGCAATTTTAGTGGGGGAAAATACCCTACAGAATACCACAGCCAGGGAAGGCAAAACATACTCTGTAGCTTAATTAATGGAGTGTGGTTTTACCTATATTTTCTTTTGCAAATGTATTGTATCAAATGCCTTATGAAAAATATCCATAACCCTAAGTAGATGCCACTACTTTAAAGTGTTTGATTATACTTCTACTGGGCAGCTGAATTATTTTTAGATGGAATTTTAACACCTTAAATATGACAGAAACTCAAAGTCTTTCATAGGCACCGGTACAGTATCATAAGAATTCGGATCAAGGTGACAGCTTCAAAGTTTCTATGCATCATACCTTGGCCACTTCTTCTTGGAAAGCCACGAGGTTCAAATAGGAGATGTTCACTAAGTCAGGCCCATACACCACTGTTATCATGCGATGTTCCAGACGTCCGATGTTCCCCACATCCAAAAGTTCCCGTAATTTGGGGTCCTGGATAATAAATGTTGAAAAAAGTTAGTTTATAACTGGAGGTTCCAACAATGGTAGCATAGTTTCCAAAAAATTTGAGCTAGAATGCCTTCAAAGCAACGTTGACTTTTGTTCTTATTACAAAAATGGTATGAGTAGAAGTCCCTCCACTCCCAGTAGAGCCCAGAGAAGTGAACTAACATGTCCAAAGGTTGCGGAGAAAGAATTTCTGGCCCAAGGCCTATTGCCCTTAGTGCATTATGCTAAATGGAAAACAGATGCTATATGATAGCGCTTATATGTGGATGCTTAAAAAGCCTAACTCACAGAAACAGAGCACACTGGCATTTGGATGGAGGAAACTTCTATAGCAGTGGTTCTCAACCTCCGGAGGATGAGGCCCAGAAATCAGGATTTTAAAAAGATTCCCAGGTGATTCTAATGTGCAGTCAAGGTTGAGAACCACTGTTCTATAGTCTTTTCAGAGCAAGTTGCATTCTTTGGAACATCCTACATGAGGATTCCTTAAAGATATAGTCCTGTTGAGAGAAGGAATTTTCCAAACCTTCTGAATTCAAAATAAGACCTGATTCAGTGAGCTTTGCTGAATTTATTTTCCTTTCATAGGACAGGCCTTAAAGGAAATGAGAGGTCCAGGAAGAAAATTAGCATCAAATCAATCACTTGGCAAATTGGCAGCCAGCTTCTGAGGAAAGAATTAACTTGAATTCTCATTTATTTAGTCAAATGCTAGGCCAACAGGACTGGATTACTTAGGCTGGTTATTCTGATCTGCCTTCTGAGGTTTCTACATGCAGCACCCGTACAAAGAAAAGGCGAACTTAAAAAAAAGAGAAAGAAAACAAAATCTTTCCAGCTGTGCTATTTGGTGCCTTTACTTCTCTCTTTAGTTAATAAAACTTTCTTCTTGACTTGGCTGTCCGAAGAGGAACATTTTCAGGTAAGTTACAAGAGAGAAAAATCCCATTTCACAGCTGTTTCCAATTATAACTGAAACTTCAACTTGACTAACCAGTTGAAACTTTATCAAGTATATCAGGCCATCTAGAAAGATCAAATGCTATCACACACACACACACAAACCCCATCAATTTGCATGACCTAGGAAAGGAGAGGAATACAGTGAAAAACTTATCAGATAAATAAACAATAATAGCAATGAGGGGACATTTTTAGCATTCTAGCATTAATGAAAGATTAGAAAAGAATGCTCAAGAAGAAGGGATGTTTTGAAGGCTAATTAAAGAATCACACACACACACACACACACTTACATACACACACACACACACACACACACACACACACACAAAAGCTCTGGCCAGTTTGACTCAGTGGTTATAGCACTGGCCCAGGGATCACAGGGATGAGGGTTCGATTCCTGGTCAAGGGCAGGTACCTCGGTTGGGTTGCAGGTTCCCCAGCCCTAGTAAGGCATGTGGGAAGCAACCAATCAGTGTGTCTCTCTCACATCAATGTTTCTCTCTATCTCTACCATTCCTCCCTCCATTCCACTCTCTCTAGAAATCAATGGAAAAAATATCCTCGGGTGAGGATTAAAAAAATAAAAAAAGAATGACATTAGCTGCTCTGTGAAATGACTAATTGCATCACAGTATTTGAACACCATTAAGGCAGGTTAGAAGAGAAAATATAGTTGACCAGTACTTAAAAAAATTTTTTTTGTATACTTGGAAGAGAAAAAGAATTCTCAGAAACCACCTAAAACTTGTAATTATAAATCACAACCTTTAAATAATTGATTACAGAATCCATCAGTATCTTCACTTCTATAACATTTAATGGGAACATTTTGGTGAATGAATGGACTTTAAACTTTGGAAAGCCACATGACTCACTCCCTAGTTTTTTCCTTTCCCAAGCATTTTCTGGCCAGTCTATACAACTTTACTACCTTATTCTCATGTCCATTCAAAACACTCTTACCCACCTATTAAGTAGTTAATTGATTAAAGAATGCCACCTTTCAGAACTGCAGGGACTAGGTGTGGGTGTCAGGGAGTTCACTTGAGTTGTCCTTGAGCTATAGGAACTCAAGGCAAGTACAGAAACCCAGAGAAGGTGACCAGAATAGAAAATAATTCTGGAAAATGGCTTCTGGAATTCTTCTGTCCCGAACAATATTGTTAGGTACAGTTACCAGGAATTTATAAGAAAGGTGACCAACACTTTATGTCGTCTCTAGAAAAATTTCCCACTAATGGTTGTTTATACATACTTTTAAAAACTATTGGCTTTATGTGATGAAAAAATTTTAATGAAGTGTTTAAAAGTGATGTCTGGAATTGGTAAAATAAAGCAAGCTACCAACATTATGATGATGATTGAATCTGAGAAATAGGTATTTGAGGATTCAACATGTAAGCCTCTCTGTATCTGATAATAAAAGATTATTGAGTATGAAATGAAGAAACAATTAGATTTGAACATTTTTTTTAAATTATGTAGTTCTGGAATTAAACAGAGAAATCCTTTAAAGTATACCATAGCAAGTTCCTTACTAATGTACTTCTTTGGTGATGCATCATACTAATTTTTAAACTATATTGTTTTTCCCTTCCACCACTAATCATTTTATTTTTCTTTAAAACTACACATTTTCTTCATCTATTTCTTTTTTAACAACACCTGATTTGGTAATATTAGAATTCTATCCCTTTAGAAATGACTTCACTTTTCCTTTTACCTGTACTTCTCAGTTGTTTCAATTTGAACACAGCAACCCAAGCTGACACGATGGCTTCAAACCCTATTCTTCATTATTGAGCATATTGATAGATGAGCGTGTCTACTGGAAAAGATACTTGCCCTTTCAAGTAACAGAAGTTGCACTCAATTGTTTTCAGCAGGGGGATCCTCAGAGACGAGGCAGGAGGGGATTTTCTAGTGATGGCGAACCTTTTGAGCTCGGCGTGTCAGCATTTTGAAAAACCCTAACTTAACTCTGGTGCCGTGTCACATATAGAAATTTTTTGATACTTGCAACCATAGTAAAACAAAGACTTATATTTTTGATATTTATTTTATATATTTAAATACCATTTAACAAAGAAAAATCAACCAAAAAAATGAGTTTGCGTGTCACCTCTGACACGCGTGTCATGTGTCATAGGTTCGCCATCACTGATCTAGGAGGATTAACAGCAAAGGCACCACGTTTTGGGAGGACCTTATGGGGGAAGAAAACTAATGGAAAGAGATTCCAAAGAAATGGTTGTTTTGAGGGTACATCACTCTCAGGTGGGGATATAAGTGAGTGCACTTAAAAATCAAACAAACAGAATTTAAAAAGTAACAACAAAAACCTACAGACAATTTGGATGAAAACCACCTCCTCCCCAAACCTGTTCTTTTAAGGGATTTTATATCTGAGCATTTCTTATTGATGGAACCTCCTGATCAATATTCAGAGAAGGATTTACTTAAGAAGGTTACTACTAGACTTAAATACATGTCTTGGTCCCTGCAATTGATATAAATTCCTGGATATTTTAATAAAGAAAACAAGCTATTTGCATAACTCTGTTCAACTTCTCTGTTGGAAAACACTAAACAATATAGCTCAGAAAAAAAAGAAGAGGTGAGGAGAACTTGACGTTGCAATTTTCACTAAGCTGTCATGCAAAACTTGCTTTCCCTGTAGACTATCCTGGATATGTCCCCACTGCTGGAATTTACCAGACCAGTGAGGAACCCTGGCAGCTCTAGTTTAAGGGCACTTTCAAAAGTTAAATCCTAGATAATCTCCACTCCCTTAAGAGTTACAAAATAGAGACTCTCTGACTAAATAAGCTCACTTTCTCTCAAGCACCAGGATTTGTGATTAAGTTACTTCATGTCTGTTGCAAAGAAAGTCAAGGTGCTCAAGTTAATGATTCCCAGGTGGAGGTAATAGGCCACTGAAGAAAACAGACTCTGCTCCACAAAGACACAAGGACTCCGCTACAGCCTGTGTGGCTGTAATTATAATATGGCATTCAAAATAGTATAGATTCATGGACGGGATGAACACAAGCTACAGGATAATTTTTAAGAGTTTAAGGCCAGTTTCAACCTTCATTCCTTAATATGATTTTTGTTGTTATTGTTGTTAATCCTCACCTGAGGATTTTCCCATTGATTTTATTTATTTATTTATTTATTTATTTATTTATTTATTTATTTATTTTTCTTTATTGATTAAGGTATTACATATGTGTCCTTATCCCCCCATTGCCCCTCGACACCCCCCCCACTCTTGCCCTCACCACCCTGGTGTCTGTGTCCATTGGTTAGGCTTATATGCATGCATACACGTCCTTTTTAGAGAGAGTAGAAGGGAAGGAGAGAGACAGAGAAACATTGACCTGAGAGACACATTGATTGGTTGCCTCCCACATGCACCCCTGACTGGCGCCGGGATCTGGCGCTGGGGATCAAGCCTGCAACTGAGGTACACACCCTTGACCTTGAATCGAACACAGGACCCTTCAGTCAGAGGGCTAATGCTCTAACCACTGAGATAAACCAGCTAGGGCTCCTTAATATATAAGATATGCAAAAAATAAAAGATCTTTTTAAAACTTCTAGATTTCATTTTTTGATGCAGAAAATATGCCTTACTTATCTTTCATCCCCATGAAATAGATCTTTATTGGATTTAGACTTATTGAACAACTTGTATGTTGGGTTAATTTTATTCCTAGCACTCAATGCAATCTTCTCAACCCAAGTTAGTTATATGGATATAACTTTAATCCATCATGCATAAAGGATCAGGTATATGAAAGTCTTCCCATAGTCACTACAACAGTCAGAAATGAAAGCGATGATTTCTTGTTATACTTAAGTGACATACATATGCTCCAGCTTTGCAGGAATAAAGCTGCCTCTTTGAAAGCTGAGCAGACTTTTTTCTTTATAGTTTTATTCAAATTTTATTGTAAAGGAAAGATAAAAACTTATGTCCAGGAAGATTTTTCATCAAGACCCTGAATTTA